CCCCGGCAGAGCGGCCCGCGGCTGCTGCGCGCGAGCGCTACCCCACGGTTCCCCAGATGGGCCCATGCACGAGTGAACCCTAAAGGATCAGTTTTCACCCACTCTGCCATCCTTCCCCCTCTCCCCTGCTCCACACTGAGTTTTGCCTCCCTGTTTTAATGGTCTGGAGCTTCAATGCAAATGGTCTCCAGCAGGTTCCAGAGCTTTTTAGTACTGAAAGAAGAAAAAAAACCCTACCACCCCTAAATTATCTATTTTGGGCTCATATTTGCCCCCCTTTTGCATTTTTAACACCTTACTCCCTATCTCTCCCTGGAGATTCCTGTGAACTCAAGACTTTTGAGTCTTGCAACACTCTGTAATGTCTCAGCATGAGAAGTGAAAAAATGCTGTTATCCTTTCCCTTGCCTCGTTGTAGAGCGGTAGCAGAGTTCTGTAACATTTAAGTTCTCATTTGTAAACAATACCCAGAAAAGAAGAAACTGTCAATCAAATCTCTCCCTTCTGTTGCCCCCAGAAGACTGATGAGCTCCTCATTGAGTTCAGCACAGAAAGAATTGATCCAAATTTGGAACATAAAAGAATCAGATGAAAAATAGAAAGCCAGGGTACGGACACTTTTTTGGAGAAATAACTTTATTGAAAAAATAAAACATCACGAAAAAACATCTTTATAAACAGTACATAAGTTGGCAGGAATGACCTAACTCTTGAAGGGCCACCTAGGCCCTGACGAGGCATGCCATGATGGAATGCATCAGGAAAGGAAGATGATTTTACCCACTCATCACATTTGTCCCCCTTTTCCAGGCCTATGATCAACCCCATCCACACAGGCTTGTGCCAGTCTGTCCTCCCATCACTGCTCCTGCGGGGTATCTCTCACAGTGAACGCTGTGCTCTGAGCTTTTGTCTTACCTTAGGACTCCTGTTTCCATCAAATTCCTCTGCCATGGTTCACTTGCTGTACCTTGGTTACTTCAGCTCATCACACCTGGCTGTTCTGGCTGTCACATGCAGCGGATCTCTCAGGAGACTGACGGTCCGTAGGTGTTAGCGCGAAGTTATGATTCAGAGACCGATCCAGCTTCTGAGTCTCTGCCTCCAGAACAGCAGCTCTGGGCTCCCTGACCACAGCTGCTAAGGAGTAGGACAGCTCTTGGTGAAGATCTAACAGTTCCTGACTGGTCTTTGCGCAGCACTCAACATAGTCCTGTTTATATTTTCGTTCTTGTGCCAACTGCCTCTGCAAAAGGGACACCTGAAAGAGGCAAAAGGCTAAGCTCAGACAAGTCCACCTTGTTACCATCGCTGTTAGTTCCAAGGTACCATTTCTCAAGAAAAAAAGCACCCTCTAACTCCAGCCCTTACCAAACCTTATCCTTGTTGAATGCAAAGTAGTAAGTTCAGAAGGTCGCACTGAACTGAACTTCGATTATGGTCAGCTTAGGTTTCTTTCTGGTGTACCATATACAACACTGAGATATTACATGATATTAAAGTAAGAGATATCTTCTTAGGACTTGGTAAGCCAACTCTTTTTTTTTTCTTCAAAAATAAAGATTTGTGCTACTAACACTTTAGTTCCCATTCTTTTCCCTCAGCAGGAGTATCAGTCGCTCAAGCACTAAAACAGAGACCAGTTGCTCAGGCACCAGGTACTGAAGATGATTGTGTTACAATATAGCTAATACTTCACAGCTAAAACATGCAAAATGAACAAACTCTTTTTTTAACTTTACAGCATTTTTACAGCATCAACGGAAACCAGAGCTGAATTTGATGAACAAGGTCAGGGAAAAAAATTAACTCTAAGAGACTGCTGAGGCTCAAGAAGAAGAATTTCATTCAGCTATCTGTGGTAACACAACTTCAGACACCCAGGATTCCCAGTAAAAACATCCTTAACCAATAACTTGCTGGCTTCAGCAGTATTCTCACTGTTCCAGAGCTAAATATCATCTTCTACTTCACCTACATAAATACTATATGCATTTTGCTCTTAGCATCTGTGAACATTCATATACTCCAGAGGACAAGGGTGTACTTGACCCATAAAGGTATTTGGAAGAGAAATCTGGAGACCTTCCGATATGGTCAGTACCATCAGCACAGGATGCCATAGGGCCTAATAGTTGTAATGCACTTTCTTACAGTGACAAAACAAATACCCTTCCAGTGCTGATGCCTCTCAGTTGAGTATTAGGACCATGATTAACACAGTTCTCCATATTCCGGTGAGTTCAGGTTTTCCCAATTCCCTGCAACCTCCCTCTCCCACCACACACACAACAGACCTGACCATTAGACAAGTCAGAGACTAGAGCTAGATGAACGCTGCTGCTTGGCTATGAACAGCCAATGTTCGAAAATGGGTATTTCCATCACCGCCCTCAAAGATGGGATCCACTGAAACAAAATTTGTGATGCAGCGTTATACAAAATTGTGCCCGCCAGTGGGGCTTCAGCAGATTTTCATTAAAACTTTCCTACTCCTCACCTGTTTCTGTAACTCAGCTAATCGTCTGCAGAGAACACGAGCCTCCTCCTGCAAAGAAAATGCAATTTTCAGTCTAGAGTCTGGTCATGGCCATGGTCTATATTATCTGATATCAGGGCTGTTGCCACTGAGATTTATCATAGTGTCTCTACCTGCTCAGATCTATCACCCACCAAGTAAGATTTTGTTCAAACCTGTTCAGAAGCAGGCATCTTATCCCAGTCTGACTCAGCAAGAGAAAAGCTGCACGCATCTGGTAGCGACTGACCACTATAATCCCTCTTCAGCCTCCTCCGTTCACGCTCCACCTGCACATTGGATAGGAGAAAGGGTCACAGAAACCTACCACCAAACAAGGAACGACTGGACCTCTGAATATCACTGTTAAACAGGAGATTTCTGTTCAGACACTGTTATTTCATCAGAGAAAGTTGGGAGCAAAAGCAGTCAAGACTATAGGGAAGGGAGAAAGCAGAAGGAAACAGTTCCTGACATAAGAATATCACGAAAAGACAAATGTGTATGAGAAAACTCGAGCAAGAGAGAAGATACATGAATGAATATGTATCTGTGCAGGCAGTGGAGTGCAGGAATAAAAAAGAAAATATGAAACCGTGCATACGTAGGGGGAAGCAGGTGGAAGGATACAAGTGGGATATAAGAAGTGGACTGCAAAGCACTCTTGGTAGCAATATGCATGTTCCAGAGAACCACGAGGATTTGCAGAGGTAATGAGAGTCAGTTTTACCTGCTCAAGAGTCCTTTTGAGCTCAGTGTTGAGTTGCTTCAGCTCAGTTTTCTCACGTTCCAGTCTTGCAACTGCTTGCTGCAGAGATTCCAGACGTTGCTGCATGAGTTTCTTCTCTGAGAGCCATGATAGCTGCTCTCCTTCTGCAACAGCTTGCTGAGTATACAAAGAGAAGATTATGCGAGCTGGTGCCACGTTAACTTTAGAAGGATTAGAAACAACAAATGGGGGAGACTGAGCAGCCTCTAGGATTGACAGTGCTAAGTCTCTTCCTCTCCTTATCCACAGCCCTCTGTATTCCTAAGAACCTTCCTTCAAAGCTATTCCTCCCCAGCTTTTGGATGAGCACAGAAATACCGCAGGCTTAAGGCACCCATACAAAGTCTTCCTCCCCTGCACTCTGTGTTCTTTCACTCATCTGTGGAGACTTTGTCTGCAGTTTTGTCATGTTCTTGTCACCCACCAAAGATGCATACAGAAGAATTTGAGAAGGAGACAATAACACAGGGAGACTTCCTAGCCTCCAGTAATTTGTAGTTCAGGGACTCCCTAAGCCACACCTGGAGGTGTGGTACTCAACAGTCCTGAATAGATTCTTCTTCCATAGCTTTGTCCATTTTTTTTTAATCTTCATATAAACATTCACTAACTGTCAGAGAGTACCACAGCTTAACACACACTGAATGAAAATCTCTCTCTCTGTTCTTTCCATAAAACCTTCCTGCTAGTTTTGCTCAGTATCTTCTCTTCTGGTTTTGAGAGGGACAGTAAACATTCATTTCCTACTGAGCTCACTTAATGGTTTCATAAAGGTCTATCAGGTTTCTATCTCCCTCTTCCCTCAGTCACTCTTTCGTTTATGGAAGGCTTAGATGTTTATGTTTCTCATATGAAAGCTATTTGACATTTCTTGTCATCTTTGACCTTCACTGTACAATCTGCTGTCTTTAGCTCTACTCTCCTTGGAGACCCAAACCATATGCAACATACAAGATGTAGATGAATCATGTATTTCTGCAGTGATAAAATATTGTTTTTGTTCTCTATTCCTTTCTTCAACATATATCACTGTTTGTTTTCTGACCACTACTGAGCACTAAGCTGTTGTTTACATAGATTTAACTGTAATTCAAAAATCTCATTGCTAAGGAGTTACACATCAGCTCAGAGCCCATCTCTGTGAATATAATGCATATACGATAAAATATTTCAATTTTAATTTCATGTTGAGTGGACCACAAAAGTTTGTATCTTTACAAATAAAGGAGTTATCTCACATTCTTTGGCTGATGAGCAGGACAAAGGAATATAGGTAGGAAGGAGGACTGAGCTGAGTCATGAGCGAGTGGGGTGCCTTTACAAAGGAGGGAATTGCTTCCCATTCCTTGGCAAGGGGGACAAAGGAGTCAGCTGAGTTCAGGTGAGAACTGGTGGAAGGAGGCAGGAGTTTGATATAGGCGGGCCGGGAAGGCTGTAACTGCTGAGTCCCTTGGCCAATGGGGAAAGAAGAGGGCATCCCTCAGTTGGGAAATTAGGATAAAAGGGGGCTGCATCCTCCAGCAATTCAAGAGACCCCACAGGGCTATGCCCGGTGGACTCTCCATGTATTCGAATAAAGTTTTAGGACTCTTCTGTCTCCTTTTTGGACATTCGGTTCTTGACAGCGAGATTTTCCGCACAACATTTATCTTCTGTTTTCAGTTATTTGGTACTGTTTATTTGCTAATTTGTTTCACGTTCCTCTATGGATAGTTCAATATGAGTCAGCTCCTCTGATGTGTCCTTGCACAAGAACCTCCCTAAGTGCCAAAATGCATAGTGAAACAGATATGAAAAAGTCATGTAGTTTTTCTGATATCTGCAATCAAAGTCAAACAACTATGGGAAATGTCACAAGGATATTTTACAGACATCTTAGTTGACTGACGATCAGTCACACCGCCTACCTGAAGGTGAAACCGGTCCTTGTCCCTCTCTGAAACCATGCCCTGCAGAATGGCTATTTCTTCCCTTAAAGACCCATTGGCCATTTCACTCTTACTCAGGGCAAGCGTCAGTGCTTGGGCCTTCTCTTTCCATTCTATTTCTCCACTTTCGGTCTGCTTCAAAATAGCAATCACACGTTCCAATTCCTCCCCCTTTACTTTCCTCTCATCTTCCAGCTGTTGGGCTAGCTCCTTCTGCCTTTTCAGGAAATGGTCCCTTTCCTGGAGAACTTTCTTCTGTTCTGCTTCTTCTTCCTCCCATTTTTGGAGTTTTTGAATTTTTTTCTTTAGAGTCTCTCCTTCATCTTTCCATCGCAAAGCTGATGTTAATTGTTTCAGGAATTCACTCTGCTTCTGAAGTTCTTGCTCTCTCCTTATCAGACTCTTCTCCAAATGCCTAACTCTCTCTCTCTGGTATTTGATCTCTTCATCCTTCTTGACCAGAGTATGCTGAACATGCTGCAGATCTTCTTGAAGACCTCTCATCTCCTCCAATTGTTTTTGCTCACCTTGAGCCTTAGTCTTTTGCCCCCTCTCAAGTGAGATTTTTTCCAGGAGCTCTCTGGGATATCTACTCTCTTCTTTCCCTTCGGTCAGCATAACCTGGAGATTCTGCAAGGTCTTCAGCTCTTCTTCTTTGAGCTGAAGTTTTTGTGTGAGAGTTTCATTGTCTTCATCTCTCCTCTTCATCATTTCCTCCAGCAGACTCACTTGCTTTTGGCAAGATGTTAGTGCTACTTTCATACTTTCTTCACGGAGCTGGTACATGTTAATTTGCTTTGTCTGATTGAGGAATTCCAAACTGTTGCTTTTCATTGTCTGGCTCATTTTATTTATATCCTGTTGTAGGTCCTTGGCCTGCTTGCCATCTAATTCCTTCTGCTCTAGAAGCTCCTGGACATGCCTTTGTAAAGACACTATCTCCTGCTCTCTAGCTTCTAGAGAATATTCAGCATATTCTAGTTTATGTAGTAAAGCTTTAGTCTGCATCACTGTCTCTTCTTTTTGCTGCTGAAGCTTAGAGATAGCCTCTTCCAGAAGCTCTATCTTCCTTTCTCTCTCTTTCAGATTTGCTTCTATTTCTTGAAGATTTGCTTGCTCAGCTTGTGCTTTGTGCTTTTCGTCCTTTTCCTTGTACTCTTCACATTGCTTCTTAAGGGACTTATTTTCTTGCTTTTGTTCCTTTACTGTCACTTTAAGATGTTTCAGAACTTCCCTCTGCTGTTCAGAGTCTCTTTCTTGTTTCTGGAAGGTCTCAATCAGCTCCTTCTGAGATTCAATCATGAATTCTCTTTCTCTCAAAATTGCCTTAGAGTGTTCCAAGTCTCTACGTAAAACTTTTATCTGTTTTTCTGTTTTTAACTCGTATTTCCTTGCTTGTTGCATTTGCATATCTAGGTGCCTGTCCTTCTCTTTTAAAGTTTCTAATGTCTGCTCCAGTTGGTCATGGACAGTCTTTAATCTGGTTTCCATGGCTTTTTCAGATTCCTGGATTTGTTTTCGCTGTGACTCTAGCTCTTGATCTCTTTCAGATAAAGAAAGTGTCACCTTTTCTAATTTACCATGCAGCTCCTGCAGGTACCCATCCTGTTGCTCTTTGTACTGCTGAAAAAATCTTAACCGATGCCTTTGAGACTCAGCCTCACCCTCTCTGTTCCCAAGAATTGCCCGCAGATGTTCTAGGTCTGCATGTAGAGATTTCACTTCTTCTCTCTTAATTTCCAGTTCATGGGCCTGCTGAGCCTGAGACATGAGCTCTAAGCTTTTCTCCTTCAATTTTGTTTTCATATCATCCAGCTCCTCTAGTAGACGACTTACTTGTGATGCACCATGTTCTTCTAGAGCCAGCATTTTCCTCTCCTGGAATTTGATCTCCTGGCCTCTCTCTTCCAGGTCTTTGCTGATCTTGCTTAGAGCACTCCTCTGCACTTCACGCTGCTCCTCTAGCTCCTGTATCCATTTTTGCTGTGATCCGATCTCCTGCTCTCTCTCCTCCAGATCCTTCCTCATCTTGCTTAGAGCAGTCCTCTGCACTTCACGCTGCTCCTCAAGCTCCTGTATCTGTTCCTGCTGGGTTCTGATCTCCTGGTTTCTGTCTTCCAGATCCTTCCTCAACTTTCCTATAGAAATACTCTGTATTTCTCGCTGCTTCTCCAGCTCCTGTATCTGCTCTTGCTGGGTTCTGATCTCTTGGTCTCTCTCCTCTAGGTCCTTCCTCATCTTTCCCACAGTAATACTCTGCCGCTCCTGCTGCTTCTCCAGCTCCTGTATCTTTTCTTGCTGAAATCTGATTTCCTCGTCTTTCTCCTCCAGGTCCTTCCTGGCGTTGCTTAGAGAACTCCCTTGCATTTTGTGCTGCTCCTCCAGTTCCTGTATCTGCTCTTGCTGGGATCTGACCTCCAGGTCTCTCTCCTCTAGGTCCTTCCTCATCTTCCCCACAGTAATCCTCTGCTGCTCCTGCTGCTTCTCCAGCTCCTGTATCTTTTCTTGCTGAGATCTGATTTCCTGGTGTTTCTCTCCCAGGTCCCTCCTGGTGTTTCTTAGAGCACTCCTTTGTATTTCTTGCTGCTTCTCCATCTCCTGGATCTTTTCCTGCTGCATTCTGATCTCTTGGTCTTTCTCCTCTAGATCCTTCCTCATCTTTCCTACAGCAAGAATTTGCTTTTCCTGTTGCTTCTCCAGCTCCTGTATCTTTTCCTGCTGCATTCTGATCTCTTGGTCTCTCTCCTCTAGATCCTGCCTCATCTTTCCTACAGCAAGAGTCTGTTTTTCCTGCTGCTTCTCCAGCTCCTGTATCTTTTCACGCTGGAATCTGATTTCCTGGTCTTTCCCTTCCAGGTCCCTCCTGGTGTTGCTTAGAGCACTCCTTTGTATTTCTCGTTGGTTCTGCAGCTCCTGTATCTGTTCCTGCTGGGATCTGATTTCCTGGTCTTTCTCCTCCAGGTCCTTTTGGATATTGCTCAGAAAACTCCTCTGCATTTCTTGCTTCATTTCCAGCTCCCATATTTGTTCATGCTGGGTTCTGATCTCTCGGTCTCTCTCTTTCAGGTCCTTGCTCATCTTTCCTACAGTAATACTCTGTATTTCTTGCTGCTTCTCTAGCTCCCATATCTGTTCATTCTGGAATTTGATCTCCTGGCCTCTCTCTTCCAGGTCTTTGCTGATCTTGCTTAGAGCACTCCTCTGCACTTCATGCTGCTCCTCTAGTTCCTGTATCCGTTTTTGCTGTGATCCGATCTCCTGCTCTCTCTCCTCCAGATCCTTCCTCATCTTGCTTAGAGCAGTCCTCTGCACTTCACGCTGCTCCTCTAGCTCCTGTATCTGTTCCTGCTGGGTTCTGATCTCCTGGTTTCTGTCTTCCAGATCCTTCCTCAACTTTCCTATAGAAATACTCTGTATTTCTTGCTGCTTCTCCAGCTCCTGTATCTGCTCTTGCTGGGTTCTGATCTCTTGGTCTCTCTCCTCTAGGTCCTTCCTCATCTTTCCCACAGTAATACTCTGCCGCTCCTGCTGCTTCTCCAGCTCCTGTATCTTTTCTTGCTGGGATCTGATCTCCTCGTCTTTCTCCTCCAGGTCCTTCCTGGCGTTGCTTAGAGCACTCCTCTGTCTTTCCTGTTGTTTCTCCAGCTCCCGTATCTGTTCTTGTTGGGATCTAATCTCCCGGTCCCTCTCCTCCATGTCCTTGCTCGTCTTACTTAGGGCACTCCTCTGTATTTCTTGCTCTTTCTGCAGCTCCTCTATCTGTTCCTGCTGGGTTCTGATCTCCTGGTCTCGCTCTTCCAGGTCCTTCCCCAGTTTGCTTATAGTAATTGTCTGCATTTTGTGCTGCTTCTCCAGCTCCTGGATCTGTTCTTGTTGGGATTCTATCTTCTGTTTTTTATCTGTTTTGTCTTTAATAACGTCATCTAAAGCACTTTGATGCATTTTGTTTTCGTTTTCCAGCATTCTAATCTTTTCCTCATGCCACTTAATTTCTCCTTCTCTCTTTGACAGGATGGCTGTCAGGTGAGTAAGGTTTTCCTGCAAAACTTTCACCTCTGCTACCTCCTTCTGTAGCATCTGGATTTTCTCCTGCTGAGCTGCCACTTCCTCCTTTTTAACTTTCAAGACAGATAATGTACTTTGAAATTCTTCTTCTAGGGAGTGTTTCATATTTGTTGCTGCATTTGCTTGAGCTTCAGAGGCTGTGACAGATTCCTGGAGAAGTTTTATCTCCCATACCATTTCTTCCTTAACTGTTTGCAGTGTGTCTCGCTCATGCTGCAACAAATGAGATAGAAGATTCAATAATTCATTTATATATATGTATGTATGCTTGTTTTTCATACTAGATTTGAACTCCTGCTTTGGTGACTGGATGACATGACAGTCAAAAATCTGTCATTTAAGCTTTTAATAGAAAAATCTATTCAGTTAGTTTCCCTCTTACATTTAATTTTTCAACTTTCATTCAAAGAGTGAGTTGAGAACTGTATTATCTTTAGCAAATTCTGTCCACAACTGATTCTGGAGTCACTGTAAATGATTGAAATGGCTCAAACCAAGGATCAATCTGGCCTGGTGTCCTGTATAAAATGACAGCTATAAGTCCATACCCTGGAAGGAGCAAGAATAGGGCAAGCTTACATGGCTTTCACAGTCTCTTTCTGAAAACATATAAACTTTTTGCATTTTCAACTTTTACAACATCCATTTGGCAGGAGTTTGCAGGTGTGATGAATTAAGAAAGAATATCTCCTCTCATGTGCTTGCAGCCTAGCTGCCACTAGCTACCTCCAATGGCCCTTGTTCTTCCATTGGAAAACACAGTGAAAGGTGCCTGGCTGCTCTCCCCCTGCCACTCAGGATGTTGTAAACCTTTGCTATGCCACCCTGCAGGTCATTTCTTTCCCCAGCTGAAGATCTCAGACTACTCGGATGGGCCTTTCTTCCTTTTTGCTGAGCCTCTTCTTGTCAGAACTGCTCCCAGAACTAAGGTCCACAATAATTGTGATATAGGAGATGCTTGACGCTGTTCTCTCTGCTAGGAAGGGAAGAGAACCATACAATACTGATTGATTTTTTTCACTTCTACTAAATAGTGGCTTCTTGAAACCTGAACCCCACTGCCTTCCCTTTTGAGAGCTAATGGTCAGATTGCAGCTTTTACTTCTGTGCTTGAAACCAGGACCATTTTTCCCTTGCAGACATGTATATTTACCTATATCAGCTGTTTTGTTTCTCAAATTTCTCCCAAATTTCTGCCCACATCCGTGAAATGTTGAATAACTTTCCATTAGTTGCAAAATTTCTCTCCTCAGATCCTCTCCCAAATTACTTAGGAATATACATATATATTATTTGATCACAACCAGAAAATGCACAAGCCATGCAATGTAAATAGAGACCAGGTTCAAAAGTTATTGTGACTATGCTTAAAGGGACGAAATCTTCAGGACTGAGGTAAACAAACAGCCTGAATCATAACTGAGTTTTACACGATCCCAGCATGCTTTCATAACTTGTCCAGAAGAATGCTAAAATCACTAGCATAAATACTGTTCTTTTGCCCTTGCAGTGTCTGTGGTCTCTCCAGATATGCTTCTGATCATCTTAACTGAGGTTAACTTAACTTTTCATCTTAATGTTTATCCTTTCTGGACTGACTACTTTTATTCAAGGTGATGGCTCTGTAAATACAGCTACACGGCCTGGCAGGAAAGAAAAGCCTGGCAAACAAGAACTGATGAGTAGATGAAAGGGGAAAATGAGACAAACTTGATCAGCACTGTATATTATGTACCTTATTATACAAAGTTCTTAACTACCTCCTGATTGCCACATTTCTCAGAATTGGACCAAACCCACACAGAACCACCCAGTACTGGAAAAGCTGTTCCCTAGAACATCAACAGAAGGCCCCAAAAATATGCCCTTTATGGCATCTGTCAGGCTCACCAGGACTTCCTTCCTTTGCTTCTCAGTACTCTCGAGTCTCCTTTCCAAAGATGCCACTTCTTGATGTAGGGTCACAACCTCCTTCTTTAAAGCAGCAGCCTCTTCCTGCAAGGCAGCTTGCAGAGAGTTTTTCTTGCCTTCTGCCACCTGTGTCTCTGCAGGGATAAAGGTCAGGGAGAAGAGGAAAAAGCAAAGCAAAACCAAACTGATTTGCATCCAAGGAAGAAAACATTTTCCCATCTGACTATGTTTTACCAGACCTGCCAGGAGAAAGAGTGAAAGTGGCAAGGTTCAGAAAAATATGGAAAAGCAGTTGCTCATCTGCTTGTTGGAAGACTAGGGCTAAGGCTAAGGCAGCATGTCATTCCTAATGTTGGAAGTAGACAGAATCTGCATTGAGGAAGCCAAGACAGGGACAGAAGGCAAAGGTCAGATTTAACATCTTAAAGAAAAAGGGTTGAACAGAAGAAAAAAGCAAAAGCGAGGACTGACTGTAAGAGTTGATTG